CCGGCAAGTAGCAAGACGGACATAATAATTTTCTGACCGTGCACAAGTTACGGTGCCCAGCGAGTCCTTTGTATTTTACCTAGGCATTATCCTTAGATATACGCGCACACCCCGTATTTTAACAACCTGCGGCCCCAGCGTTCGTGTTCCTCTCGCTGAACATCCAATACCACTCCCCGCCAAGTTGCCAGGTCCCAGTGCTGAAATTGTCCGAGATGCACTGAGCGACGATGTCCGGGACATGCACCGTTGGACATCTGCCCCTCGACGTGCACAACGCGCCCAGAGCCATGGATGGGGTCCGCGTTACAGTCGGAGGGTAATCTGTGCCATGCATACATAGGAGCTGTTAGGCGACCCGGAAGGCGTGCATTTAGTGTTGAGGGAGAAGCTCACCAAAATTCTACGAGACCCCACGCCCAATTTCCCTCCCCCGGCCAGTCAACGCCATGGCGCACCGAAAAACAACTAAACCAATTAGTCGCAGATACCTCCGGGATGTACATCTGCGCGGACCTTATAATTCTACAGATAAATCAGGTTCCTGGCCTCGGGATCGGATGCAAGAAATTATGAATTGCGTGCCCTCTAGTACAGCCGGATTGGATCATGAATACATAGCCATCCTCTCACGTATTCAAAGAAATCCCTCAGACGACACTTTCCTCGACATTGTGAAAGCAGCAACATTGGGGATACATCCGGAAGATATCAACGATCTCCTGGCTTTGCCGCACCGGACAGTCCGACAAGTTCTAGCCAACATGCATTCCCTATTGCTGATTCCCGACGAGCAACACATTGTTGGATTACGCCAACACGGATCGGTGCACCACGCCGCGTTCAGTGACTATCTTCAATCGCCCGCCCGCTCAGGCACCTTCTGTACCAACTCGCTCCGCTGCGACGAGAACTTCATGAGAGGAGCAATCATGATTTTGTCCAAGGCCCAAAATCTGGCTTCCCGGGTAAAATATTTTGATCACCGCCGTGCGTTGCATGCTTTGGACACGTATGTGTACCCTCAATGTTTATCCTGACAACCTCACTAGTGACCTCAACAGTGACTGGGGCCGGATGCGACCACACTGTCAAAATTCGCCACGAACTCAAAAGGCTCAATGTGTCTGGATTCTGCAAATATGCTGATGCAGCACCCGCGATTCACCGGGCCGACCACAAGGAGTATCACTTTGCAACCCAAATCGAGCAGGTTTTGAGGTGGCTGAAGGCATGATATTCACCCTTTAGTGGGAAGACCAATCTCATGTCGAACTGCCAGCCGCAAAGGTCCGGGCGAAACCTGGTGAGGGCTTGGGAAGAATAGGGAGTCTCAGTTCGCCGGTGTTGCGGAACAAATCCCATGGAAGCGGATTCCCTTGAAAGTACACCGGAGAATTCGCAGGAGAGTGCACAGAAATCCGGAATGATGGAAGTCCCGAATGGCACACAGGAGTCGAATGTGGACTTTTACGAGCTAGGCCCCTGCCGGCTCTCCCCTTCGAGATTGACAGGAAGCTACTGGACCTATTAGTTCAATTTAGTCTACCATCAACTAGGTACCACATATGTACTGTCATTATGTATTGTCGTGGCACCGACATTAATGGGGGAGGTCATAGGACGTTACGACACCAATCATACAATTTACAGCTGCCTGGTCGGCTAGGAAGACGAGTACATACGAGACGTCCCGCACTTCAGATACGGAAATGCGGCACACTGAGCCTGGTGCCGCATTTGATGTATCGGAGTGCCGCGCTCCGAGTACCGAATTTATTCGGCCATCAATTCCGCCGTCCCCTCAACAAATCCAACACAAATCCTTCTTCAACAGCATTACAGAAATCTGGACCCTAACACTAGATCTAGAACTACCCGAACACTAACCACTAACCTCCTAACTCTAACCTAAGACCGCTAACCCAAACCTTAACCGGCCGCTGCGCAACAGGTATACGGCAAGGCTGCGAAGGCGTTTAATGGAGTGCCGCATACTTATCGCTATTATTGTGCCGCATTTCCCAGTTGGAAATGCGCATCTCGTCGGTCCTGGAGGAGGCCGATCATCTATTTCAAGCTCCGACTATTGCCGAATCGACGGCTCGTACAACAGTTTGAGCTCCGCCCGCGTGCTGAAACTCGGGCCGATGCCGGGATCGGCCCCCCCCGCGGCGCGCATGGAGGTTGACAGGTGGGTGCCGGCGAAGACCGAGCGGGCTCAGCCTAATGTTCTTCCCTCAAGTTGTTTGATGTAAAAGAAAGGTGTATTAAATTCCTCTGCACTCCAATTTCTGCCCGCGAGCCAGTCGAACGGGCAGACTGTATATATAATAAAGCCATGGAATGGCCTTTCAATCGTCAATCCCTGGGCTTGGTTCTCTTCATTACAACGAAGTAAAAGTGGTGGGTAGTATACATGGGGATGCCCGCTGAAATGCACGCGTTAGAACAGGGATCGAGCACATCAAACCGGCGAAAGGTCTCACATGAATATGCGGGAGATAAAATGTTCTGTAGGCGGGCGGGCTCATGCGACGACGCACGACCCGCTGGAGCCGGTGCTTCTGTCGTCGTCGATGGTGGGCAGCTCGGGGGCGTCCTCGATGGGCCCGGCGGCAAAGTAGGAGGAGAGGAGCGATGTGAAGGCGTCCATTTGAGCGTGAGGTGGGCGTAAAAGGCGTAAGGTGCGTGAGGTGAGAGTGAGGAGGGGTGGCGCGGGTACTCTGGGGCGATTGAACGGATTACAATGTGTGTTGAGCTTTTATACCGTGTTTCGTCACTACGCACGTGTCGCACGAGGGTATCGCCGAGTGTGCCTGCCATCGGCCGCAGTCCCCAGCACAATAAGCAGCCGTGTAAGCGCTCACAATAAGGAAATTGATGCGTACCGCTTTGGGAGCGGCATCCGAGAAGACAAAAGAGCGCGCCGTGTGGGTCCCCGCGCGGGGCTATCAAGTCAAATGATGCTGATGGCGCAACTGATTTGAGATTATTTTGGAGGAAGTAACACCTGGTCCACTATTTGTATAGTGACGTAGACCTCCATCCGACCCGGTGGGACAGTTGAGAGCACACGAACGGAGCCTGTGCCCCGTTGACGATGAATTGACTGAATGGAGGTCCAATCCGACTGGTCCGCGTCCCAAACGAGATAATAAGAATACACTCTGGAGGTAGACGTGAGAGCAGAGTGGGGGATCTATCTCTGAGTCATCTTTGCTGAGTTTCCAGGAGTTCCCAGGGCGCGATCGAATTTTTAGGCAGATAGGGTGAGTTCTGAATGACAGTGATCATGAATGACTCAGATGAGTGGCGGGGGAAGTGTTGGGAAAATGCCCATACCAACTGCCCGACGTGATCATCTCCACTACGCGTATTTGGATTCAAATTTCCGTGATCTTCGAACAATGCAAGTCCGTGTGCCGAGGCGCGTGCTGTGAAATGCCTGGGACAATTGCGGCGGCCGTGCGATAGCAGAATGACGTGAAACCCGGGCCTGTGCGATTAAAAAATGACTAAAATGAATGTGAAGGAAAGACCGTCGCCCCAGGGCGTTCTGCGAAAACCGAGCAGATATAGCCTGTGCGCAAAGGAGACCGGCGCGTTAATTTAGCGATCACTGGAACCGATCGGATCCGGATCACCTCGGAAGAGCCGGGCGGCAGTGCTCATCATTGTTTGGCTGCGGCCTCTTAAAAAGCGAGGCCACGCGATTTTTTTCATCCGCTCTTCCCTTCCTCCCACCACCATCATCTTCGTCTCCCGATGTATCTGCGCTGAACTCGCTGGCGCCGCCCGCGCCCAGTGTGGTCTTCCGCATCCCATTGTCTCTTTCGCTACGGTATCTTCTGCAGCGCCGCGCTCGGTACCCAACGTCGGAGTCGGACTTCCCCGACGGCTTGCCCCCCACGCCTACGAGGTATGTGTCTCTCCCATCCCCACGCACACCCTTCCCACCCATCGTGATGACACAACATATGTCAAACTAGTAACGAGTGCCCAAGGGCGCGATGTGTACACTTATAATCCTAGTTATACTGATCCTTCCCTCCCCATTCTCTCCTCTCCTTCTACTGCGTATACCGTGCTGACGACCGTCTTCCTTCCAGTGATGTGTCATCGCTTCGGTGTGGGTGATGTGATGTGATAGTCGGCGGTTATGATGGGTCTGACGAGGGACGAAAATGGTGAGCCGCTCTACCCCTTCCCCGCCTCTCCTCCCCCTCTTCCTTCCATGATGTTGTTATCATCCATAAAATACAAGCGCCCGCTTGCGGGCGCGAAGCGTACACAAACGATACCTGACCCTTCTTCGTCCCTCATCATGTTTCTGCGTCGTACTAACCCCTCGTCTTTCGTAGACTGCCTGTTACATGGATGGATATACGGAGCGTGTGGCTGCAGGGTGAACAGTACGCCCGCACTATATACCTCTTGGTACCTCGTGTACGTCCGTAGCCGCTGCAATGTTATACGTTCGCGATCTTCGTTTGCGTTCCCCATTCCCGGTGTCTTGCTTGGGTGTTGCCTTTGGGTGGACGCTGGCACGGCGCACCGATGACCACCTCTTCCATGTATTCCCTCCCCTCCACCCGCAGCTCGATCGTTCAAACGCGCTGCTCATCGTTACTTCGTTCTGTATGATACCCAGCGGCGGGCGACGCGCGTGCAGGCTCCAAGTTAGCAACGTCACTCGGGGACGAAATGAGACCCAGTAGCGGACGGTGCCATCTGTATATTTAATGCTACAGTACAGCGGAAATCCTGGTTCGACTCCGGGCTGGGCCATTAATCCGCCACCTCACTTTTTTGTTTGCCCTTTCCCTCTGACAATGACATTGCCCTCGAAATCACACTCGATGCAGGGTTTAATTTGGGAGACACAGACCCAAGCGGGATCCCTGATTCGACTCCAGGTTGGGCCTTTAATTGTTTTCCCCTTTCCCGCTGACATCACCCTCAAAATCACATTTACCAGGTTTAATTTGGGAGGACCAGACCCAGTAGTGGATGGTACCGCGCCCGCCTCTTATAGTAGAAAATGCAAGCGTGAGCTCCTGGTTCGACTGCAGGCTGGGTCATGTCGGACCAACGCTTGGCTTGCGTTCTTTTTCCTTCTGCGCTCCAGAATCTCCCGAGATTACACGCGACACAGGGTTTAACTGGAACGGGAAGCAACCGATTATGATGGCGAGAATGGTCGGCACCGGGATCTCACCCAGCCACGACCTCGCGCTGTCTTCTACTGGGGCCGATGATACCGTGCACCCCATCGCCGGATGGTATTCACCAAGAAGGCCTGAGGCGGAGAAGATCGCTGAGGAGATGGACGATCGTTGGATAGACTGGGTGGGTCCTATGTTGAGACTACAGTTCAATTTCGCTGTGTTTGTCTTATAATTCATTTCGACACAAGCGGGAGATAGGACTAGCAGATTTGCGGCATGCGAAAGTGGCCCGCCCAGAGTTCGGATTGCGCGGAACAGTCGCTACAGTACATATATCCGCAGATCGGCTCCTCTTCGCATGCCAACTCGCGCTACCACACGCGAGGTACGAGCGTCAAATGTTGTAGCGTCTGTCTAGGAGAGAAAAACCTCGCGCGGCCTCTCAAACATGGTTCAAATCACTGACTTTGATTGCTAGTTATCCTCCAACCGGCACCGTAGCATCCAATCACCTTAATCTGTCACAGAGCAGTCCCGGTCGCGGTTTTCCCGCGCGCCATTCCCTTCTACAACTCGGGTGCGCGGGTTGAAGGTTTATCGCCGCGGTAGCATATCGAGTCACTCGGCGATTGTCAGACCAGTTCGCTTCGGTTGCCATTTCTCTAACCGCCAGTCTAGCCCTATTTATAAGAACCAGTAGTATAAATCCACCACCTTGCTCGCTTTTCGCACCCAATTAGTTATCGCCCGCTCGATTTCCTACGTTGTCTGAAAATGTTCTCCAAAATCCTCGTCTTCGGCTTTGCCGCTCTGGCGCTTGTCGGGGCGGTGCCATCTCCTCAGGTGCCCATAGTATCGTGCAGCATCTCCGACCCAACAGTGCGTTGTTTCGGAGCTTACCTCTGCTTACCTTCATATCGGCTAATATAAATCAAAGTCCGCGTTTTAGGCTGCGGGTGTTGTCAATAAGTTCAGCGGAATCAAGCCAGGCAACTAAGCTTGAATGCAGCGAACAGCGCCCAGCTTCTCATCAAAAAAACCGGACGAGCCGATTTTCACCGTGCGCAAATATACACCGCCCGGGCCTCTCGGGCAGGTAAGCCTACTCCAAAAGCAAGTGGAATGTCCTGCCTAATTGCGACACAGTGGAAGAAGGTAGAAGAGGCGGGTCCTGATACTTACAGGATAGCCAATGCAAACCTCATCACTCCTACTTTCGTGAATTCCGAGGTACTGGACCTTATGTGATATCTCGCCCGTTCTAATCGTAGGACCCCATGGGAAAATCGTTTCCGGGACAGCTCATGAAGCCGATGAATTCCTCATCGTGGCCTCGGAGAGACACATTCGTCGTATGCATTCCATCCCATTCTAGGATTTTTATCTGCTGATTCGGATTCCGAAGATCGGCCTACCCAATGGAGAAGGGGTATGGACGATCGACAAAGCCCCCAAGATCTCGCCGGTAAGGTTCCGCTCGCCGCCGTGATTTCCGGGACATTGCTAAGCCATGATGTGCTTGCTGAATAGGTGACGTTCAGCCCGTTCATTGTCACCGGAAGCGCAACTCAACAGTGGAGTTTGTGGCCTGTCGAGTTCGAAAGATATCCCGAAGTTGTAGAATTGTAGTGCACTTTCGAAGGACAAGAGGGGGTAAATCCATGCTTGCATTACAGTGGGAAGAATACATTCAGTGGTACACGCAAGTTGGCTGGTAGCCACTTCCTTTCCATCCCTGACGTTGTCCGGGCTCGCGCGGCTGCATCGAGCAACGGGGCAGACACGAATGAGACCCCCTAGCAAGGTCATCGAAATCTGAATAACAGTGCCGGAAGCAAATATCGGACGTACCGAAGGACTTGCGGCCTCGTACCGGGGCCTAGGAGAAGCGCGGTGGTCGGAGCCTGCTGAAATGAGGGAACGATTTATGCTTGGGGGGTTGTATGCACAAAGAGACGGGACAAGCGCATATGTACAAGATTGCTCCTGGGATCGTTCGTCAGTAGAGGAAACGAAAGATGCGGCAGACGCACGTCGGGGATGCCGTGCATGATCGTGTGGGTGGGAATATATACACAGATTGTGGGACGATAGCATATGTACAAGACTACGGCGGTCAAGGCCTGGTTAGCACATTGTATGAACAAGAAAGGCTGATTAACGCACCTGGCTGGTGTGTCGCACCTCATTTTCATTCAAAATCCTGCAGCTCACAGTCCTACTCCCTATCGCGGTTTACGAAGAGTGCCGTAGCGTATGGCACGCTCTCGCCAGCCAAGAGGGTTGCTTCCTGGACTGCCAGAAGATCGCCCGAGTCAGCAGCTCGTCGATTTGCACCGATTCCAGGCCCCTTACATCTTTTGTATTGTTTAACACCTTGACCGCATCTTTATACCTTTCGGATGCCGGTGGATATGGGGGTGGATCCGGAACCGGTTGCGATTGTGTTGGTGGGAAATCCTGCTATGCGATCCACGCTCAGTCGTGGTTGTGGCAGCGGACGTTCAAAAGTCGGTGAACTGAACTCGCCTCAATTTGCCCAGAGGTCGATGGGCCCGCGTTCTTGTCGTCAAGGTTCAGAATCATTTTCGTCTCCAGAGAAAAAGAGTGCTCACGTGCAGTGATCGCGCACGGACCATGGCGGGTGAGCGGTAGCGAACCCAGGCTCGTTTCGAGGATTGTGTTTCGACAGGGTGGCTGGATTCTGATCGTTTTCGGACGGAATGAGCAGAACTGTGCGCGACATTGCCTACTCCGACAGCTGCGATTGAGCAATATAAAGAGCGAGCGGAACCCGAGCGCATCAAAAGCGACAGGGTGCTCGACTCGGAGGCCGGCGCCTTTGGACTCCTGAGACCCTGAAGAACGCGGATTCGCTGGTCGTCCCCGGCGAGCAAGTTCTCCGGAGGATGTATGGCCGTTGACCAAGAGTGCCGAAAGGGGCGGAGAGGGCCCTTCCTTGAGCTCGGTATAACCCTGGAGATGCTGGAAGTCCCGGCTGGGAAACTCAGTGCTAATAATACGTGCCGCGAGGCGCGTATCGAGATGGAATATGCATACCCCCGTGCCGAGCTGGAGCTGGATTGACGCGCCCCGAGCGGCAGAGATTAACGGAGCGGCGAGGGACGGTTTCCCAGCATCGCCCGAGCTTGACCCGAGAGCGCTAAAATCGACGGGGTGCCCTGGCGAGCGAATTTTCCCTACTCGGCGCGAAAAACGAGGAGCCAATGGGATCTCCGTCTGTAGACCGAGTCGAGATTTCTGGAGTTTAAAGCCGTAAACGGAGCCCGCATACTCCGCTGCCTGTTCAGAGCTCGAATGGCGCAAGTCCGAGGCGGCAGAGATTGACGGAGCCCCAATGGAAGGTCTTCAAGTGCTTGGACCGAGAGCGCCAAAAACGAGCGAGGGCTCTCCTTTTTGTTTTAGCTCGGTACCGCTCTGCAGGATACGGAAGTGCGGGAAATTAGCTCCCCTTCCATCTTCCGTGTATGAAAAACGCACTCGGCTACTTCGGGTGAAAACTAATTGCCAATGGAACCTCCGTCGGTCGACGGAGTCGATAGCCTGGCTGAATTCTTGCAGTTTCGACACGGAAAGGAGCTCCGCATACTCCCCCGAGAGTAGTCCGAGGTGGATTAGCGCAGCACAGAAGCGGCAGGAACCGACAGAGCGCGGAGGGAAGGTATCCGGAGCTCGGCCGAACGCCAAAAGCGACTGACGTCGTTCTCTTCTAAGTGCTCGGTAAAACCCTAGAGGACACGGAAATACTGCAATTTAGTCACCCATCCCTTTTCTGTGTTTGAAGAACGCACCGAAAAGCATACGAGTCAAGTCTTCGCTGATGCTGACCTTTTCAGACACAGGACCGCCGCCCTTTTGGTCTGGGGGCTAACCGTCCCTCATAGATAAGACTGACTCCATGGCCGAGGAGCCATCGCCGGGGAACGTACTCTGGCCCGCGACTGGGTCGACCGAGCAACGACCGAGACTCGCCGAGTCGACCTAAGTCGACGCGCTCGCTGAATTCTTGGAGTTTCTGGGCGGAAACGGTGCCCGCATACCTTGCTGCGTATCTGGGGTCGGGTTAGTGCACCTCCGAAGTGGCAGGGATCGACGCGAGCGTTGACGGGCGGTTTCCAAGTATCCGAGGCCCGAGCGGAACCCTAACCCCAGGATGACGTGGCTCCCCCTCCGACTCCATCGGACTTCGTTTCGCGTTAGTAAGTTCAAGTTCAAATGGATGAATTAGTCCACGTGTAGAAATTTGGTTGCTCAGCAACAACTGAAATTGCGTGAGGTCCGCACAAAAACTTTCTTCTGCCTATTTCCAAATTACAACGTGTCACGAAAAGACAACGAAAAGAGGCAGAAGCCGCAACAGTAGTGTCGTATGTTTTCAAAGTAACATCCAAAAAAGATGCAAATGCCTCCGACGAACACCTCGCACTCGTGGCTCTGTAGTTGAACGAACAGAAGCACAGTGGATTTTTTATGGCATCTAACCATCGCATATGGCTCCGATTGCACGCCGCCATCGCGGGCCTCTCAACGGCCTCGCGGATCTAACAGCAGCTCCACTAGGACTGGGGCAAAGTTTCTGGAAAGGATGTAACATCCACGATTGGATCCTCGATGATGGTTGCATCCCGCATACAATGCCTTATCGAATTCTGCAGGGTGCTGTAAAACGTGCTTCTGAGCATCATTCATTATGGCTGTCATTGGCTGGCTGCTCCGCTGGTAGCGGTATGTCTCTCGTCTCTCTCCCACAATCGCACAGTCTTGAAGGCATCCTAATCCTCGCCCGCCCCTATTCACAGCATGGCCACCCCGTCCATTCCTCAGCAGTTAGTTAATTCGCAACAAAGATTCCGCGCGTGGCTAACGTGCCTTCTCCATCCAGGCAGAACTTC